TAATGAATTGTAAGTTGTGAGTTTTTATCTTTAATCTTCTTCCTTGAATATAAATTAATTCCTATTCATATTTCATATTAATATTTTTAGCATTACTTAAAGGATCAACTAGTTTTGTTTCATATACGGAGTATTAATTATTACTAGAATCGGTCGACGAATACGCTTGTTAATCGTTCGGTCCTTTCACGGTAGTAAACTTGGATTATTAATACATGCGTCTTATGGTTACTAATCTAAAGGGAATTAATTATATTGATTAAACCAATAAACCGCTTATGTTGAGGTTATCAATCTCAATTGTTTTCATCTTAAGTTTTATTGCTACTATCGGGTCAATATACGGCGCGTGTTCTATGTTGACTCGGTAGTAAGTTTTATTAATAAACGCGTCTCGTTATTAATAACTACCATCGATGAACTGGATATACTCCTTGATTGAGTATTCAAGAGGAAGATAGTTAAAGATATAACCAGGATCGACGAACATTTCAATAAGTGGATACATGCAAAACCATGTCTTCATCTCTAATTAATTAAACCACATAAGTCGTCCAACTTAGTGTTTATATATACTTCAAGTCCAACAACAACTTTACCCCCCCCCCCCCCCCCGTTACTAGTTACATAAAAAGAGAAATATTCCTTTCCCTGTGGATACGACCTTACTTCGTTATACTACGTATAATCGTTGTATTGAATATTATTTTGAGACACACCACGACAAAGTGCCGTCAACAACAAACATCTGACACGCTCCATCAAAGTTCTGTTCATTCGTGCTGCTAATCCGTTCAACTACGGTTTCTTGGGAGGACTCTTTTGATGTCGAATACCATGGTCTCTACAATAAGCATCAAAGGGGCCAATGTATACACCTCCATTTACCTGTCTGAATACACTTGAGTTTCTTTCCAGTCTGTATCTCAACCGAAGCATGAAACTGCTTAACACTTCAAACACTTGATCATTAGATTCAAGGTATAAACACATACCTTTCTGGAGTGATCATCAATGAATGTGACAAAGTAAGAGCAACCACCAAGTGTCATAGTCTTCATAGGACCACAAACATCAGAATGCACCATATCAAGTATACTTTCCTTCCTGAAAGAGGATGGATCTTAAAGGAAACTTTGTTTTTTACGTGCCAAACAGCGGGAACACTTCTTTAGATGAATATCATGCACACCCAGTAACACATTTCTCTTCAACAAAAGAAACATTCCATTTTGACACATGTGACCAAGCCTCTTATGCCACAAACCAGTCATGTCAGTATTTACCACAACATTGACCCTTTCCTTGAAGATCTTCATATGTGTCATGTACAACATTGAGCATCTTTTATCTCTAGCCACAATCAAAGAACCATGAGTGGGTTTTCATTTCCCGTTACCAAAGTTGTTGCTAAACCATCATCATCAAGTAAGCCCGCGGAGATCAAATTAAGTCTCATATCTGAAACATGTTTTACATTATGTAAAACCAACTCTATATATCCCGATGTCAATCAAACTTCAATCAAATATCCCCGATGCGTGCAATCTATGATAGTCCATTATTACCCATCCTAACATTACCAAAGTTACCTGGAGTGTAAGATGAATAGAAATCCCTCCGTCATGGTACATGATATGTAGCACCACTATCAACAATCCAAATCGAATCATCATGCGCAATGTTGACCATATCTAGATCACAACAAATGAGGAACTCTTCGGTGGTAGTGTTAACTTCAACACTGCCATTACCGCCCTCATCTCTCTTATAGTTCTTTTGATTGTTGTAATCACTCTTTTTCTTCTCCTTTTTCAATTGCCTGCGGAACCATATTATGTGCCCTTTTCTACCACAATGATAGCACTCAAAATCATCAAACTTTCCTTTGGATTTACTTTGATGCTCCCCTTTGTTACCTGGACCTCTACTCTGACTTCTACCCCCACTTCCTGTAACTAAGACAACAGAATGTGAAGAGGAACCTTGTGACTTTCTTCTCATATCTTCATTTAAAATACTGCATTTAGCCAATTCCATGGTGATGATACCATTCGGTGCAAAGTTGAACAATGATGTCCTAAAAGTCTCCCATGAGTCCGATAAAGTGCCAAGAAGCCATAAGCCTTGTATTTCATCTTCAAACTTGATACCCATTCCTGCAAGCTGATTAATAATTCCCTGAAAAAAACTCAAATGATCAGTGACAGGAGTCCCACCATGATATTTCAAGCTCATCATCTATTTTATTAAGAACAATTTATTGTTCCCGGTCTTTCGAACATACAACTGTTCAAGCTTGTTCCACAAAGTGCGAACATGAGTTTCTCCACTGATATGGTTCAAAACATTATCATCAACCCATTGTCGAACATACTCACAAATTTGTCTATACAAAATATTCCACTCTGCATCTGTTTTACTCTCAGGTTTATCAGTAGTAAACACAGGCAAATAATAATCCTTCACATAAAGAAGGTCTTCCATTTTGCCTTTCCAAACATGATAATTAGAACCATTCAAATTTATCATCCTACTTGTGTTAGCTTCCATCATTCAAACAAGTCTAACGCAATACAGAAGAACTCGGCTTTGATACTGATTTGATGGGAAATACAGCCACAAACGGTAACTAATAAAATGCGGAATTAATTTTCGTTTGGCTAAACTTTCCCAGCTTGAATGAACCTTTGAAGATGAAAACAAATAGGGTGTTCTTAATCCAATCAGAACACACACAATACAATCATTGTGCACCAAGATATTGAGATAAAAACAGTAAGCACACACAACACAATGACACAGAAATTTTAGCGTGGAAATCCCCATAAACTAGGGAAAAATCATGGGACCATTTTGGCCACTTAAATCCATTGTCACCATCAATGGAGCAATACGAAGTCTTCTCTAGATAATACTAGAGGTGTATGGAATCAAAATACAGTCAAGATAAGAAATATATTACCTGAAAAATAGCTATTGTCCAGACCAACGAAACCCGACCTCCGGACCTCAAAACCCGATATCCACCGTCCAGAGTGTTGGCTCAGATGCTGTGTAGCTGCTGCCCAAAATCACGATGATCCAACGACCCAATCTCCGGGAAACGGAACTTTTCTGCTGCTGTTTGCTGAAAAAACGGGATGAGCAGTTTAGTTCATGTTTTGTGACTCTTTTTTTGGCAACATGTTTTGTGACTTTTTGTTCTCTCAAATCATTGCTCTCTTTCTGTCCTTATGTTTGAGATAGTAGCTGACCTTATTATTATTAGCTCCCAAAATAGAAATTCTAATTAAGACTTTAATGGGTTCAATAGTTGGGCTTTCCTCATGGTGTTGGAATAGTAGAAATAAAATTTCCTTGTAGAAAAATTCTTACTTTACATGGAGTGCATCACGTTCCCGAAATTAGAAGGGACATTGTTAGCGTTCCCATTCTTGTTAAGGAGGGTTATGAGTTGTCATTTAAATTAAATGAGTTGTCATTTAAATTAAATAAAATTGTAATTTTATTTGGTTGAACTTTTATTGGCGGGAGTTACTTGTCAGATGGACTTTTTAAGATTGTGGTCGATTATTTTGAATTAAATTATGTATCTGAGAAATGTGATTATTTTGAATGAAATTATGTATTTGAGAATTATGATAAAATAAATTATGATAACTGGATGTGAGAAATAAATAGGGATTTTTATAAAAATATTACTAAAATAAAACTTATTTAAATAAATATGACTAATAGTTACTACAATGTAGTGTTGTGGTAACTTAAGTTCAGAGCCGGTCCTGTCTATTTTTGGACCTATGTGTGTGATAATAATTATACTAATTTAAATAATAATTATAACAAAATTATCTAATAAAGGTCATAAAATAAAAAAGAATCTCATTTTATTTTTATCATTTAAAATACATATTTGGTGAAAAGTGACAACACAAGTATCACATAGAAGAAAAACATTAGTTAAAAATCTTTCTCGCGGAACATTGTGAAGCAAAATCATCAGTAATTGCTTCATAATCATCTTTTTTCAACATCTAATGCTCAATACTTAAAATTGCTAACCCATCAAGTCTTTCTTGAGGCATAGTCGATCACAGATAATTCATCAGAACTTTTAACTTTGAAAAACATTATTTAAAAACGTTTCTCGCGGAATTTTCAAGATTCAATTTCTTAACAAAAACAAAATTTTCCATTGACCCCTTCTAACTTAAGCCTACCTTTTCTGATCTTCTCCTCTTTCTCTTTATCCCAACATGATTCACCCATTTTATCAAGAATGGTTTATTGGTCATTAATCATTATTGGATTGTTTGAAGCCTTGAATTGAAAGAAGAAGTTTTTTAATCACTGATCGCCATTTGGCCTCCTTGATTGATTGGCTTATTAACAAACCGCTGAGGCACTCACCGCTTTAATCTTGTTGATTTTGGATTAGAATCAACAAATAAATTTGGATGGGCTTTGCCAATTGGGAGTTTTGGAATTGGGAGGCTTAACATAACTTGGTAATATTGTAATTAAAAAGATTATAAAGCATAGAGATGTGAAGACAATTAAGACAGACGTGCCTCTTTACATTTATTTGAAAAATTAAACATTGGGCCTAATTAATTAAGTTAAAAAATTAAAAAAAGGAGTTTACTCACACTACATGTAAAGAAATATTTTTGGGCTTTTTCATGCTATTTTCTTGGGCTTAGGGCGGTCGCTCCTGTTGGCTGTTGCACCCCCTAGGACCGACTCTGCTTAAGTTTAAAAATTAAACACAAGTTACCATAATTTCATTACTACTCTAGTCACTAATCACATTTTTGTAAACAATTTTTATTTTAGTCATAAATATGTAATTATTTCAAATAAATATTTAGGGTCATATTTATTTAGAGGAATAAATATTTATGATAAAATATGTCAGGCAAAAGTTATTATGCAATATTTTATATTTGACAAGATAAAAAAATTTATCTGAACCCAAAAGTTATTGCGCTTCATAATTATGATAAAATAAAATAAAAATCGTGAGAAATAAATACAGCTTTTACGAAATAATGCAGATATTTAAATGTAAAGTTGCTCCATTGCTATAGATCAGAGATACCATGCTTATGCCTAAAGTAGCCAAATAATCTATCAATAATTACAGAAGTTACAACACCAACTTATGCAATATACAAATCAACAAAGTGGATCAATAAGAGAATCGGAAGAACACAAGCAGAGCTATAGTTGCATACTTGCATTTGGTGACATGCAGCCTCTTCATCCCTTCCTCAGTCCTTTGGGTTACCCTCTCTTAGAGCCTCCATGGCTCCATAAATAGCACTCTATACCGCCAAATCAATATGACAAATTTAATAATTACCATAAGCTTTGATATAAGGTACAGTATTGTCATTTTGAAGTTTTGGGGTCAAGATGTCAGAATTCCATCCTCTTTATCAATTTCTGCATTAGTAAAAGCGAGGGCGCGCTGCAATTTTCTTGGACAGAATATCTCAACCTCTACCATGTAAGACGCAGTCACTGGCCGATGATCAGAAAGTCTAATGTCAGATCTCCCGTAGTTAAGAAGCCGCATTCCTTTCCCATATGAAAGAATACGGTCACACCTGAGTGAATCCGTGGGGAGTCATGTTAAGCCAATCTTTCATAGGAAAAAATTATAGAACACACAACATATTAGTCTACTCTTGCCAATACTCAAAAGGATGTTTTTTTAGGATCCAACCTCAAGTCTTAAATAACATGGTATTGGAGTATATTAAATTCCAGTGAGCATTTTTAAGATATACATTATTTGGATTAAAAAAATACACATACCAGGCTGGAGTACGCTTCCCACACTTTGCATCCTCTCCAATGTAATTCTCTGAGTTTATGTCATACTTATAAGTGGGTGGGAAATTTAAAATACCCTCAGCCCATCCATCAAAAGTGTGTCCTTTCTTCAATTCTTTTGTAAGCTGCACAAAAACATGATGACTCATCTGCAAGGTTCAATAACATATACTGCTATACATAGAAGGTTACTGCTTCAGCACAAGGGATGAACATCGCCTAACAGTTCAATTCAAACTTGATTAGTTTTACCTGATCACTTTCAGTTAACTTAGACCACTCTTTTTTGGATATTAGTTCCCGTGTTTTCTCATATGACAAATCCATACGATAATTTAAATCACCTAGCCAGATTATCTTCCTGCACCAATTTAAATGAAAAACCTCAATGATAGCAGCTTCAAGCATAATAAAGGAAACTACTTCAAATGGGGTAAAAAGTACGGAGTATGACTTTAGTTTAAGAAAAAACTGTAAAATTATGTCTCTTGGACCCCAAAAGTTAATGAATGGGGAAAGAACTGTCATACTCACTCATGGTCACTAATACTTCTAGGAAGCCCAATAGTAGAATATGCACTAAAGTGTGTCCTCCTCTGAATTTCGTGAACATCTGCATTTCTTTTTACCACATCCGAATCTTTTTCCCCCGATGCTAGATGGGTACAAACAAAACAGCAAAGGGTCTGGTGTATAGACATGCTAACCGATATTGATCCCTGGAATGCAGAATATGTATATGTTATAGAGGAGCAGATTTTGCAATCCTCTCTATCAGCCAAATGCCAAAAGAAGTTTTATAAAAAGCAATCGAAACATTGTTTTGTCAGAATGCACCCTGAGGCTATAGTTGGAGTTTGAAAGTAAAAGGGAACCGGGAACAGAAACAGAACCCACAGAAAGAAAATCAATTTTGATTAAAACTTTTATAGTTTTACATACGTTTAAACTTTTGAATATTCCTATTATAGAAATATATACATAAAATAGGTTTAAATAAATATATAAATTTGACATTAGGAGTTCGAAGCAACTTTTCATTTACCCACACAATTTTTTCCCTTCCAAAGATTCTCTTTTTTCCTTTCTATTTTCATTCCTTGGTATTTCTGGAGATCCAAATGAACCCAACTATCTCAAGAGTGATATAATGAATACAACAGTTCCTTCTAGTGGTAAAACTTTGAGATTCAGAACAAACCTTGTTACCTATGAAGCCCATTACACCAACACCAACTGTAGACACATCCAAATTCTGGATATGTTTTCGTAAACCTCTACGAACCCATATGGTCAAGAAAATGCCAACCATTTGCTTGCTAATAATCCTTACATATGGTGGCCTTCTTTTCCGTTTTATCATAGATTCAAGATCGATGTCTCCAAGTAGAGCCACATCAGGTTGCACTTTATTTTGACTGTTAGAAGTCAAATTGAAGGATCTATATGTTCTGAAAGACTGGGAAGCCTTTATAGAATTCAGAGATTTGAATGAATTAGATCTTTCAAAAATGTCTTGGGGAAGACTGTCTAATTGTGGTTCTGGCCAGCACAGGCCAATCTTCTGTGTAGCACCAAGTGTTTTGGTTAATTTCTTTCCACATTGTAACTTCTGTTCATCTGCATTTTCTTCACACTCTTCATGTTTAAAGCAATTTAATCTGTCTATTCTCCTTGGCAAAGAAGACTCCCTTTCAGGGAAAATCATATCCTTTCTATCATTGACTTCAACATATTCATTGAATTCCTCTTCACCTAAAGGAACAACTTCTTCCTCTCCCTCATCACTATCAGACTCTAATACAGTTCTTTGTTCGATATCATGGATATTTTCAGAACGCTTAAACCTTGAGGGTGAAGAAGGACCAGTAAAAGATTTGAACTTATTCCCTGATGGGATTTTATTGAGAGATTCTCGGATTATGTTTTCCCATTTTGAAACTGGGCGGCTATCTTCAGAACCAAAGATATTACCAGCATTTAATGGAATTATTTCTTGAAAGCTGCAAAATAAAAGTATAAATAAGAAGTTGCTTTCAGCCAGAGCACTGTATCAAAGTAATCATAAGATTCATAACTAATTGATGGGTACATGGAAAGCTGAATTGGAACTTGATCTTTAGATAAGATCACAATAGAAAAGCAAGAATGTAACTATAACCATCTGCCAGGTCAAACCTTCTCAAACAAGAAAAATACAAAAGGCATTAGCGAAAATCTATAACCTACCCGAGCACATACATATCAGCCGGTTTGCCAATATTTAACCAACCTTCAAGATCTAGATCATCTGAAGGAAGTTTTCCGCCAACATTCCATGTGCCAACACATACCCTAGTAAAGTTATATAAAAAGATAGAAAATCAATTCTTTCTCTCAGACAAGCTCTAAAATGTAACCAAAAAAATTCATGGTGCACTAGGAAAACTAATGTAGATATGCATAATAGTTTTTAAATTCTTTATCTATCCAAAATCAGTTTTAAAAAGAAAACATACCTGACTTCTTTTGAACTTATATATTGTGCTCTGAATGTCTCTGATTTCCTTCTTCTTAGCCTGGGAAACGTTTCTATAATCCAAACACCAAAGTCATAAAAACAAAAGGTTATTATTATAGAAAACAAAAGGTTGTTGGTGAAAGACAGCCACAGTTCTAAAACTTCCATTTTGGCTGGACTTTTTACTTTTTTCAATTTAATTCAACGTGCTATAACATTTAATTTTGTGCAGCTTACCCTATTTTGTGGTATAAAATTTCAACCAAATGCTACCTTGTTGCCATATCTTTTGAATACTTGAAAATGTTAAACAGATGCAAGCTTGAATGTTGCATTTGGACATCATTTTATGAAGGATTAAGTTTATTTAACTGTGTCTTCATGATCAAAGGTTTACATTCTTAAAAAGAATTGTGGTATACGGGTATACCACAACTAGAGCGGAATGAATCGGCACCCTCGTCTGTTATTATATACAGAGTACTTTGTATGAATGTAATACAACTACTTTTGGGAGCTAAACTTGGAGTATTTAGTTGTTTGATTAATAGACGTACAGGTACTTTGTAAGAATATAAAGTTTCATATTGATGAAATAAATCTATATTTTTATAACATATGCTTGAATTGTTAGAAATTTTACATATAATAAGAATTTTACAGCGGATATGATACTATTACCATAATTTGGCTATGTACATATAGATATTAGATATAGTTGACATGTCAGGTGAACTGGAAATTGATATGTCATGCAATCAGAATGTCTATCGGGATTTTTTATTTAAGCTAAATTTCACAAAATTAAGAGATCCATCTCGAAGGGTAGAACAATTTTAATAAAATTGGTAAAACTAAAGAAAAGTTAAAGTTTCACAAAAACATATTATATCAATCTTAAATTCTTAATTGAGGTAAAATAACCACCTCAATCAATTAAACTAAAAAGAGAAGCATATTAAATTACCATTTGCATCCATCTCAACTTCGCAGTCACTTTCATCCTTAAGCCGTGGCTTCCTGGGAAACTCACAAAAATCTACAAAAGCCATGATAAATCTAAACGCTATGCCATATTGTTGCAGTGATCATCCCGAAAAGAAGTTTTCACTTTTCTTTTATGGGCGTGTTCTCACTTCTATAAAAGGAAATCACTTTTAAGTAAAAAGTCACGACTACCGTTACTTTTACTTTTTATCTACTTTTTGATTGATTTGACGTAAAGTAAAGCTATACTTGAAAAGTCAAAACAAAACTCTATTAAACATGTGCAGGTCAAATCGGGAATTTCATTTCGGGACGAGGGAGTATTAATCAACAAAAAGATCCATTAACCGTTCTAGCTCTAGAATCAAAACAATAGTGTTCTGTAAAGGGACCGGTGAGGAGAAAACCTTGATCAGAATCCGAGTCAGAGGTTAGCTCAGAATCGGCGCTGTAGTCGGAATCTCTGTTGCTGATCTTGAGCCATTTTGGCATCACCACATGCGGCCAGAGAAGCTGCGGCGATGTGAAAAGCAAACATAAAATTTCAGTACATCATCCCTGTAATTCCTCTTTCCGGAGAAACAATAAAAAGACGAACAAATCCGATACAGATTTTGACAGAAAACTATTGAAAGTGGGGAAATATGGGAGAAATCGTCACAAAACATTAACCTCGGGTTGACTTCGAAGCTAGGAACCGCGCTGCATCCTTGGAAATTAGGCTGTAACACAAACAGTATGAGGTAGCAGAAAGAGAGAAAATGAGTCAAATTTAAAAGTATATGCACTGAAATGAAGTGAAATTGACGGCTGACTCCAAAAAGGCGTTTTTATACGGCCGCGCCACCGCATTTTGAGGTAGGACCAGTCGGCCAGGCTTTTAACTGTAACAATAACTGATTTTTTAAAGACCGCGTTGTCTCAACAAAGAAAATGGACGGATCGGTGGTCTAGTTTAGGGGTGGACTCGGGCCGGTTCGGGCCTGAGCCCGGCCGGGCCTCGGGCCAGAAAAATATGGCCCGGGCCCGAACCGCCGGTGGGCGGTTCCGGTTCCGGTTCCGGGCCAAACCGGGCCGGGCCGGGCCGGGCCAACCGGTCTATTTTTTTTTTTGGTTCTCCTTTTTAACCCCCTACCCCTCCCCCTCAACCCCAAACCACCCCAAACCACCTCAAATGACCCAAAATACCTAAACCAACCCAAAACTTAAAAAAATTTCAAAAAAAAAAAATAATTAAAATCCGGCCCGGACCGGGCCCGAACCGGCCGGGCCGGTTCACCAAATGGAGGGCCCGGGCCCGGAACCGGTATCCACCGGGCCGGTTCGACCCGAACCGCCGGTGGACCGGGCCACCGGGCCGGGCCGGTTCACACAGTAGCCGGGCCGGGCCGGGCCGGTTCCGGTTCGGGCCGCCCGGCCCGAGTCCAGCACTAGTCTAGTTTATTTTCGGCTCCCGTTTGCTACCTATACAAAGTATTTTGGACACTTTCATTTAGGGTAGGTGAAAATAAAGGTGCAAATCATTGGCAGATGGCAGATCTAAGAATGAGAGGTGAGATGAGCTAATAAAATAGTCATTGTTCACGCAAGTTTTAGTTTAGGGCTGCTATCGACCTACTACGGAGCTTAGCGAGCTTGGTTGAAGACGCGGTAGCGGATTTAGGGAGTATTTGTAATTGATTCAACTTTAAAAAAGTGATTTTGGGAAAAGTGATTAATAGTGAAAGTTGGTAGTGTTTGAGAAAAAAGTGATTCTGAAAAAGTAAAAGTTGGTAGTGTTTAGTAAAATAAGTACTTTTTGTGTAATAGAAAAGTGAGAAGCAGTTTAAAGCACTCTTCTACCTGCTTCCAACTTTTAGCTTTTAAGTGATTAATTTAAGCAGAAGCTGTCATTTGAAAACATCATTTTCAGCTTTTTTAAACCAAAAGCTAAATAGCGCTTTTTTAAAGCAATCCCAAACACTCATTTAGGATTCTGGTTTTGAGTGTTCAAGCTCTTTCTAGAAATAAATCTTTGAACATCAATAAATAATTAGAGCATCTCCAATGCTATAATGTGCACGGTGCACATGTGGCATGAGTGATACCCACATAAATATTAGCATATAAATTATCTCTCCCTTATTTGAATGATTTTATACAATTTTGGTAAGTTTTTCCCTGCAATGTCAACAACAATGTCAATATCTAGACGGTCTCCTTGACATTGTGGAGAAAAACTTACCAAAACTGTACAAAATCATTCAAATAAGGAGAGAAAGAATTTATTTACTAATATTTATGTGGTCATTTCTCATGCCACGTGTGCACCGTACACATTTTACCATTGGAGATGCTCTTAGTGTGAATTTACACATATATTCTTATATACTCCCTCCGTCATATTGGACTTTGCCAATTTTCCTTTTTTACTTATCCCAAAAAATTTTGCCACTTTCATATTAAAGCAACTAATTTGTGATTCTGCACATTTCTCTCTTCTCTGCACAAATTTCAACCACACAGTTTTTACTATTCTTATTTCTCACCTAATTTGCACTTGGCAAAGTCTACCGGGACGGATGTAGTACTTTTTAAAAATTTGAGTGTTCAAGAGAACACTTTGGATATAAGGTGGCTCCGCCAGTGTAAAGACGTGCTAGCTTTTGAGTTCGAATAGTTATTCAACCCGAGTTCGAGTATATTGATGACCAGTTTAATCTGTACTCGAGCCATGAAGGAATTTTATAAATTATACATAGTATATTTTTTTAAAGTATAGCCATTTTTTGTACAATTTAGAAATTTATGAATGAATATTAAAGATTTGAGTATTGATCGAATAATTTGAACATGAATATATTAGCAAGCATATATAGTCTAGACTTTCTACATTCGAGCATGTTTATCGAACTCCAAAAATCTATCGAGCCAAACTCAAGTTCCGATCCATTTTGTTCTAGGGAAATATTCATTTCATTTTTTCAATCTAACATATTAATAATAATTTCACACACACACACATATAATATGACCATTAACATGTCAAATTTTTGTATAAGAAATTATTCTATAATCTTCAATTTTATATGATGTATTAATATGTTGTAGCATATTGATGGTAATTTCATATGTATAATTTATTAATTTATGACAATTTACACGATAAACGTTTGTATCTGATCTGATTTAAATTTCCCTCATCTAATCTGATTTGATCTAAATAAAATAACAATAACCAATAAGAATAATGGTAAGACGAACAGAACGTACACCTCCTTACACTTTTGTTTTTATTGGACTTGTATCAAAAGAGAATTAAATGAGCAATTATACTTATATTCTGTACGTAGTATAATACTTCCTCCATCATGTAAAACTAGATAAAAGTTGACTTTCACATCTAATACGAGAGTAAATAAGATTACTCTTGTATAATTGAAGATTTGATAATCGTGTGAATTGAAGGAAGAGAAATAATTTGAAACACTTATTTTTAAAAAAAATATGAAACACTTGATTTTTATAAATAAAAAAGTGAAAAAGTTGATTTAGAAATGTTTAAATAATGAAAGATTCCTTAGTTTTTGTGGGACGATGGATACTCAATATGCAGTTGCTATACCGTGGGAGCAGTCAGTCCACTGTGAGCATGCTGCTCCCATAGACAAAAACGCATGTTACTGTTCACGCGCGTGAATAGTAACTTATGTGCCTTTTCATTTTCCCAGTAGCAGGCAGATGTAACTCGTGTGTAAAGAAATGTAACTTACACTGATAAGAAATGTAACTGCAGGCAAGTCGAAATATAACTTGTCTAATACGAACTATAACAAATAAAACATTAATTTCAATGTAAACAATGAAAAAAAGGAATCTAATTGCTCAATTACTTTAGGAAATAGTGAAATAAAAATGTTTTTTGTAAATCATATTTTTTCCCAAAAAAACATTTTTGCCAATTTTTGTGTGTGAAAATAACTACCTTTTTTTGTTCCAATAGAAGGGTTTTTTTCATGTAACTCGTGTTATGGAAAATGTAATTCACATTGGTGGAAAATCTAACTTAGGTGTATTTAAAATGTAACTTGTTGAAACAAGTCCAAATGTAACCCGCCCATATGAAGATGTAACTCATGCATAAAACGTTTTAACTCGCGTATAAAAAGATGTAACTGCATATACTACCAATTGTAAACAATGAAAACAAGGAATCTAATTGCTCAATTACTTTACTTAAATAGTGAAATGTTTTGTTTTTAATATTAAGGCCATAATTTTGTTTCTTTTAAAAAGCAGTTACCGATCATTTTTTTCCAACAACGTCATTTATTTTTGCCAAACAATTATCATTTTTTCCAAAAATATTTTTTTTTTTGCAATTTTTGTTTCAATAGCAGAGATTTGTTGTGATGATGTAACTCGTGTTATGGAAAATGTAACTCACATTGATGAAAAATCAAACTTAGGTATATGCAAAATGTAACTTGTTGAGGCAAGGTAAAATGTAACTGGCGCATAGATAAATGTAACTCTCACACAAGAAGATGTAACTCGCGCATAAGAAGATGTATCTCCACACACTATCAAATGTAACTTCATAAATTGTCTATAAACACAACTCACACATGTGGAAATATAAATCACACATATAAAAATGTAATATCATATTTTATCAAATGTAAATCAAAATAACCAAATTTAATCTCTTAAAACCATATAATTGAGATAAGAAATTCCACATTACAGGATAAAAAGAAAAAAATAATAAATAAATAATTAATTTTTGGTTGTAATTTCATTTGAAAAAATAAATAAATAAATACAAAAGTGTATGATTAAGGATTAAGACAGAAACAAAAAGTAATTAATTTATTTTGGAAGGATGAAAATTTGATCACAAAATTGTAAACATACATTCCAGTGTTTCTAAATTAAGAAAAAAAACATTTGAAACATGATAGCTATCGATAGTGAAAATATTAATAGAAAAAAACGAAAAAGATGAAAGAGGGTGGGGAGTGTGCAGCTGGAGGGAGAGCTTTTGATAATTAAAGACAAAAAAATAAAATAAGAAAATGAAAACGAACAAGAAAAACCATGTGAATAGGGGAATGAAGTGCGCGAGATTTAGTTACGTTTGTGACAAAAACGATACCGTATTTGGACTGGTATACGATGAGCACGGTATACCAGTCCTACGGTATAATTTGCCCTCAACATGATAGTTACGTTACCAGTGTGACTCATCGACGAATTAGCGTGTTCCTAAATGCCAAGTGGGCGGCTGTTTTAAATTCCCAGTGACAAGAAGGCACTATGTTAAGCTTTTGACTGTTTCTCATGCTTTAAGAATTAACTAATGATTTCATGATGGACAAATGCATGAGAACGTGCTTTTTATACTACGCATATGATAACGATATTTATATAACGCCACTATAATTCAAAAAAGAACAGCTAGAGAAAAAAATCTTAAGAGTAGAATGCATGCATGATATGGGTTTTAGTAGTGAAGTCTTAAATTTAGTTATAGCAAAGGATTTTTTTATGGGGTAACTTTTAACAATATTTTAACACATAAAATATGACCATGCTCACATTTAGAATCATAAATCTCCATATTACATGTGAGTTGCTCCTCTAAAACAGAACTTATATCACACCATACGAGTAGTTAAGAAACGAATGCTCATGATCTCCTCCATAGCGGACACGTCGCTCGAATATCTCGATATCAGGAAGATCGGACTTTCGATATAACGCACCAACAATAGATCAAATCACAAGACCTAACCCCGTACACAATGTTCTCACGAATCAATGGCGGACCCAAAACTTTTCTGAAGCGGGGGCACTCCCGCATAGATGGAAATGGGTCCGATCGGGTCGAATCTGGTGTATCATTAGTCTTTTTTGTCAAGTGCTTTCAGATTATTATTTTTAACTGGAAATAGACTATTCAATGCCGACTTCAAGCAATGAACATATATGGATTATAAGTCTAATTTTCAATTTTTTAAAACAATTCTAAACAATATATATGGGGCTTTTTGAAAGAAAGATATAATTTGAATCAGAAATGATTCATATTTGCACCGTTTCTGATTTTACAGTAAAATTCTTGTTATTTTCATACTATAAAATAATCAAGATTTCATATCTAAACTAGAATCATGTCGAATGTTAATCACCCATTGTGCCACAAAATTTGTTGGCACTTGTCTTGAATATAATACTATCGTGTCAAAAATGAAGTATAAATCATGTTTATGATTTCATTCTTTAATACAACTTTATTTAATAATATGATTAAATATATCTAACATTTATCATATTATAGATAAAAATTCAAAGAGTCTGTTGGTTTGAAAATAATTTATCGCGAATTGACACATATTTTCATGTATGAACTTTTATTCAAGATAAAAAGTCTTCAATCTATTAAGTTCATCCTAAATATTAGAACAGTTGTCATATCCTTTGACCTTTAGCTTTGGACAAACATTATTTACACTAAGTAAGAAAATAATCAATGCCACTTTTCAAAGAAAGTGTAGTAACCATATCAACAACATGTCTAACTATAAGGATTTGCTCCATCATAACTTTGTGGTTGTTTATAATTTATACTACTACAAGACTTAGCATCTACAATGGTAATTTTAGTGACCATGATGGTGTTCAATCTATCAATAGCGACTATGCATAGTAACTATACTAATATTTATGTCTGTTAGTTCTACTTGGGTAATATTTATAAAATAATCCTAGTTTTTTTACCAGGTAGTAGGGGCACAATTTTTATGTTTAAGTACTAATCTTAAATTTCGGGTCGGAAGCGGGGGCACTTGCCCCCCTAGGTCCGCCACTGCTCACGATGATCTCCTCTCCACTAACACGTGATCTGCAATTCATTTTGTACCGTCATTGTTTACCAATGGAGCATGCCTCCTGATCACAATATCACAATATCAAGAAACATTCAATACAACATACCACTAACAGATCAAATAACGAGACCAGACCGGGAACCACCCACATTGTGCATCCCATCACTATGCTCCATGCCTCCATATATGTATGACCTGAGCTCTAAAGTGAAGTGCATAATCTCATCAAAGAGCATGATCTTGAATGCCTAGCTACCATCAGATCACGCACGGAAGACGAGATCCATCCCTACGATGAACTCTACTTGTTTCTCTACCTCCAACAACCTTGGTTGTGATACCACAAGCCCATATGACTCTTGTACCAAGCCCTCACAATACAAATACTCAATCTTACAATATCACTTTATATTATACAATTGAAATATACAAGAGAGATTTACAAGCAATCGAATAACTCACTTCACTCTTTGTATATGAGACGACTACCTCACTCTCACTTTACTCTCTCAGAAAGACTCTCACTCACTCCGGAGCTCTCCAAGGCTCTCATAGAAATGATGAGTCTCACCCCTATTAACACTACTCTCCTCGTGGCTTCTCTAGAACTTTCTATATAACACTACGCTTCTAGAGTCTTTCAAAAATTATCCACAAGCTTCTCTAATCTTCTGGAAGAATTTAGAGAACTCCACATTTCTTCAAAAAAATCTAGATGCTTCCACACACGCTACTAGAATTTTCCTTATTTGCTGTTACCCAATTGTTGCGGTTCTTAGTTAAAACACATCAATTAGGCAAAATTTATAAGTATTTGTTGTGGTTCTACACTTCTACTACGACCACATCTAAAAGTTAGAAATTTTGATACTTTTTTGTTGCGGTCGTGTCAGAACAGTTGCAAATACCTATAATTTGTTAAGTTTGTGATAATTAGTTGTAAACTATACAGTAGCGATAAATTTTCTGTAAAACCGTGTTTTGTATCGTATTCATTATGTATTAATTTCGTGGTGTATGACTTAATTAGTCCTTCTGAAACTATGAATTTGGTTTGTTTTGATAAATGTGAAGTTATTTTGTAAGCAAGTTTCACTTTTATGCAAATATATGAGATTTCGTACATTTGAGTAGTATAGACAAACAATTTTTTTTTTAATTTTATTTGATGCAACCGTGAACCGCAGCAATTAGCAAACCACATTTTTCTAGAAGTGTTATTTGATGCGGTTGACAACCGCAACAATAAGTCATGTTTTCTCTTTTTTAACTTAGCTATTTGATGTTGTTTCGAACTGCAACAAATAGATTTTCCTACTATTTGCACCTCTGCCAATTGATGCGGTTCAGAACCGCAACAAATAGTAATTATTACAGTAGTGACACTTCACACAGTTCTAAAGAATAATGTACTTCTCTAGAAAATACAACTTCAATGTTCTAGAACTTTCTACACTCTTCTACATGCTTATAGATAATTTCACGTCTCTCTAGTTAGAAAGCTCAAGAATGTTCTAGAACATTCATTATTTTTCTACACACATGTAGAGTGATCTAAACATCTCCACAGTATTTTAGAATTCTCAGGAACTTTTCAATTAAGGAGGAAACCCAACAAGTTTAAACATAAAATAATATTGATAGATTCCCTATAAATCGCTAGTGGTATTGCTTAGAGAGAGAGAGGGAGAGAGAGAGGGGTTGTAATTAATGAATTGTGAACCCTCCACAACTACCCCCAAGAGGGGTATTTATAGAGAAAATACAGGTTGGGCTCCCAAGTGTTAGACTTAGGAGGTCCAATTACTTTAATGGGTTGTTGACACGTGTTCCAATCCGCCCATTATGGATATATGACGATCACTTCTAGCGATGGAACCGACGGGCATGGGTGCACCTGAGAAGTGGTGCTAGAAATCCTGTGGGTGAGCTTCTAGTGGCCTGTGGCCGAGGGGCATGCCTCTGAGGTGCGGATGCTGAGGTGATGGCATGGACAGAAAGTCTGTCCTTATATTGTGGACTGGGCTCTTGTGATGGGCCTTCTGGAATTGGTGTAGATTTGGACCGTCTGTATGTCCAAGAGTATGTGAGTCATGGGTTCGAGCCCACATACACTATCAAATATATCAAAGGTTGAATCAGTTGATTATTTCTGGTTTAAATATGTTTTTAGTTCCTGCAAATATAGTACATTTTGTTTTACATCCCTGCAAAATAATTTTTTTGTTTTACGTCCTTGCAATTGATACTAGTTTTCTTTTTAGTCCATCATTGATGATAACAAACTCCGCTTGACTTCAAAATAACCTTTTTTTTAAGGAACTTCAAAATAACCTTGACTAATAGATTTCCCCTAATTCTTTGTCATTATTAAAAAATTATTTTATTTTATTTTATTTTTTTGAAGACTTTTAATATATATATATATATATATATATATATATATATATATATATATGAATTTTATTCATGTCCGGAATTCCTGACAGGAACCGCCGTCCGGACGGTGGCGTTTGGCCGCCTTCCCGGTGACATTTTTTGATAAAATTTTTATGGCATGTTCTCCATCAAGTCTAGTTTATCCACAAAACAATTCAGCCAAAAACTCAATCGGGAAGGTCGTCAAATGATTTTTGCAAGTTAACTCGTCCGGAATATGTATTTTCCGGACCAGAAGTATCCCTGAACCCTAGAATGCAACCGGCCCTTTATGATCCACGATCAAGGTGAAACCGGTCCATTTGAGAGAAGTAGGGGTTGCACGTATACTTGGCCACCACGCATATTTCTTTCCGTTTTTTTCATAATAACATCCCAAAATATAAAAACACTTGGCGAGCACGTCAAGAGCATTTATTGGTCGAATCATATCGGATCGTGTCTCTATCAATAAAAGCCCATACCAGTAGCCTGTAAATTAGCAGTCGAGATTGGAAAGATCGGGAAACGAGAGAACGGAAGAATGAAGCAGATCTTCGTGAAAACTTTGACGGAGAAGACAATCGCTCTCGAGGTCGAGAATAGCTACACCATTGACAATGTCAAGGCTGAGATCCAAGAGAGGGAAGGTATATAAATACATATTGTATTCTGATAAACTTTCCTCTTAAATAATTACTTCATCGATCTATTAATTTTTCGATGTCCGGATATCTTTCCTGAAGGTTGATTAATTTGTGGTTGATTTCTGATATGTTTTATCGGTTTTAGACATGTATTAGTGCGTGAATGATTGTTTATATGCAGGAATTCCATCTGAGCAGCAGCGGTTGATGTTTGCCGGCAAGCAACTTGAAGATGGAAGAACTGTGGCTGACTACAACATCCAGAAAGGTATTGTACTCCGTAATTGTTTAATTTGTTTAATTTTCTGCAAAATAATTATAGTAATAACCCTAATACTCAGTAGCTGTTCTCATTCATTCATTATCATAATAGTACTCCGTAATAATAATAATAAAAATAATAATAATACTTAGGGTTAAATTATCATAATAGTATTCCGTAATAATAATAATGATAATGATAAGGCTTAAATGGTTATATAACTTACACTCGTATTATGCTGTTTTAATAAATATGATAAGAAAAATTAATAACTTGTATTATGCTTTTTTAAGTGCATAACACTTTTGTGGCTAAAGTGAGACAACGTAATTATAGTTCAGTTATGCAACATAATTCTTCCTGTGAATAAGAGAATAAGAATAATAGAATAAGAATAATAGAATAAGAATAATAGAATACGAATAAGAATAAGAATAAAGTTTGAATCCATTATAACTCGTTTAATTCATACATATTAAACTCAGAATCAACGCTTCATCTGGCGCTGAGACTTGTGGGAGGGGGGCGTGGAACAATCAAGCTTGCTCCAGGAATAAGGGCTATAGCTCAAAAATACAATGAGCACAAGCAAATCTGCCGCAAGTATGTATTTGTCGATCAAAGCGCCTTATATTCTTAAATCTTAATCAGTTTGCTTTTGAGCTGATTGAGCTTGGTTGATTTCTACGGAGTAATTTATTTGATGCATTATCCACTGTACATGGTTGGTTTCACAGGTGTTATTCCCGTCTTCCTCTGAAAGCCACAAACTGCAGGAAGAAGAAATGTGGTCACACCAATGAGGTAATTAATTATAGATACTTCGTGTGTATATATATATATGTATATATATAATATATATATATATATATATATATATATATATATATACATACATAGTACTTATTGTACGTTTATATTGTATATATACTTGTTTATATTGTATATATACTCCGTATGTGCATAAATATGTATACATATACACAATTACAGAAATATGAAGTACTACCTCCGTCCCACTATATTTGGGACAAAGGGGTGTGGCACTATTTTTAAGAAAAAGTGGAATTGTGTGTTTCATATTAAATTGATAATGTGTGAATAAAGTAAAATGTTTATGCAACATTAATATATATACTTCCTCCATTCTTTTTTAGTTGCAACGGTCAACATTTCACACTTGTCAATGCACGTCTTTGACTGTAATTATATATTAATCTCTATTAGTAAAAAATATTTAAAAATTAGATTTTGAAAATTTGTAATGAGATGAATTGAACAATATTTTTTTAAAATAATAATTTTCATAAAATAATAACATAAAATGTAGTCAAAGTAGAACATGTGAATAGTGTAAAATTCAACATGTTGCGATTAAAAAGAGACGGAGGATAGATAGTATATATATATATAGATGGTCTATTTTTTTGGTAAAAGATTGATGGTCTATTATTATTATTATTATTATTATTATTATTATTATTATTATTATTATTATTATTATTATTATTATTATTATTATTATTATTATTATTATTATTATTATTATTATTATTATTATTATTATTATTATTATTATTATTATTATTATTATTATTATTATTATTATTATTATTATTATTAGGCTTTTTCGATCCAATTGTATCTCTAACGTACTACTTGTATTATATTGTTGCAGTTGAGGCCCAAGAAGCCATTTGACTCTAAGCTAAGCCACTAGACGAACCGAAGAACCAATATTATGCGTTTCGTGCTAGTTATTTGTTTACCTAGTCGTTAAGTCTTATACGGAGTGTTATGGACTTTGGATGGTTTGGATGTTACTTTATTTGAAAACATGGATGCTCTTTGTTCGCAATGCAGTTTCGTTTGTCTTTTATTCGAGTGTGTAATATTAATTCTCCATTCACCCATTTAACTCCGTTCGGGATTGTTTAATTTCTTACTCCATCATTTCATTCATTTTGTCGCAGAGTTGGGATGGGGGGAGGGGCAAGGAAGCGTATACCATACAGCCGGCTGTACGGCTGGCACCGTACAGCCGGTGGCAATTTTCTAATTTTGATGAAGTTCGTGGTTTCTCGTAAATGAGCATTGATGTAATTTTGATGATTATCGAGCATGTTCTTCTGAGTATTATGAGCCTAACAATGAGCACCAGTGATCTCTGCTTCATATTTTCTATTTCGGTTTCTTTTTATTATTTTTTCATTTATAAAAAATTCTTAAATTATGTTTATAATTAATTTCAATATGTGAATCTAATGTAGTATGATATGTTTGATATGTGCATCATTTTAAAATGAGCATAAAGTAGTACCAAATGAGCATACACTATTTATAAAATGAGCATAAAAAATTCAAAACTTTATTTGTGTATGCTCATTGATTTTGGGCGTTATATTTGATATGTGCATCCATTTTAAAATGATCATAAAACAATACCAAATGAGCACACATAATTTACAAAATGAGTATCAAAATATTAAAAACTCATTTTTGTGTATTCATTCATTTTGGGCACAATACTCATTTGAGTTTAACATATAACTCATTTCGAAATATGTATGAATATGACATTTTAAAATGAGTATTGCACTAATACCAAATGAGTATACATAACATACAAAATGAGTATAAAAATGTTCAGAAGCTCATTTTGTGTATGCTCATTCATTTTGGGCGCTATACTCATTTTCGTTTAACAAAAACTCATTTTCAATGTGTTCAATATTAATTTGTGTGAGTTCATTTCTTTTAGGTGTATACTCATTTGAGTTTGATATAAAACTCATTTGAGATCAATAGCTGCAATGATTCCTCAACAATGAATTAGACTCCCTTTATTTCCCAAAATCAAAAGTTCAAATAGCAAAACTACGTTAGATATATAGAGAAAAAGAAAGAGAGGAAAGAAAGGCAGAGGAGGAGAGGTAATTATGCAGGAGTAGGAGCCGGAGCCGAAGTCGCTGCCGCTGCGTTTGTGCCGGAGGAGAAGAGGTGACTGGTGAGAGGCGGCCACAAGCAGCGAACTGAAGGAGAAGGGGATGAACAGCGATGACGGTGAGCCTGATGCGAAGTCGGATTGAAGAAGAAAACGAAATCGAAGAAGTCTGGAGCGAAGCTTTGTGCGATGTTGGAGCGTAGAAACCTGGTGAGCCGTGCAGATTGAAGAAGCGCAGATCCAATTAAGTCCGGCTGTACCGTGCGCACGGTACAGCCGGCTGCACCATGTATTTTACGGGAGGGGCAATTCCAGCAGCCGTTTGGTGTATACTTTTTCCGTTCTTTTTTAGTTGCAACAGTCAACGTTTCACATTTGTCAACGCACGTCTTTGACCGTAATTATATCTTAATCTTTACTAGTAAAAAATATTTAAAAATCAAATTTTGAAACTTTGTAATGAGATGAATTGAACAATACCTGTTTTAAAAAATAATTTTCATAAAATAATAGCGTAAAATTTAGTCAAAGTAGAGCCTGTGAATAGTGTAAAATTCAATATGTTGCGATTAAAAAAAACGGAGGATAATATTTAATTTAGACAAAGGGGGTGTTTGGTTAGAAATTAGTCAGCCATTTTTTTATTACATTTGACCTTTTGACCAGATCAAATTGCTAATTAAAATTGGCTGAATGGGTTGATTTTGCTGAAATATATGATGTTCTGGTTGAAGTAACTGTATTGACTGATTCTTCTAATTCATGATATAATTATATTTAAAATAATTTTTATTAATAAATAAAATAAAAAATTATATGAAAAAATAGTTAAAATGATTCTCTATAGTAACTTCAGCCGATACAGTCAGAAAAGTAACCTCAGTCTATAAGCTAATACCATAAAATATATATTCAATGAAGAGTATATTAAGAAAAATTAATTGACACTACATATGAGAGAGAAGATTATCCCGCTTAAGAAGTAAACGTAAGAGTCAACGTTCTTTCACTCTATTGTTAGCAAGTTTATCTTCTTAGCTTCTTATGCCTAGGAACACTACATATGAGAGAGAAAATTATCTCAAACAATTGTTTAGTCTTCTTATCTTATACTTCGTACTTAGAACTACATATGAGGGAGAAAGTTATTCCACTCAATTGTTAGCAAAGTTATCTTCTATTACCTAAAAATACTACATATGAGCAATAAAATTCTTCCGCTCAATTCTCCTCAATTGTTAGCAATCTTATCTTCTAATACCTAGAAGCACTACATATGAAAAAAATCCTCTCGCTCAATTATTAGTAAGCTTATCTTTTTTATATCTAAAACTCTTACATATGAGAGAGAAAGTTCTTCAGCTCAATTGTTAGCCGGCTTACCTCATACCTATATCCCGTGCATATGAGAGAGAGAGAAATTATTCTGCTCAATTGTTAGCTGGATTATTTTATATTTAAAAAAACTATGTATGAGAGATAAAGTTATTTTGCTCAATTGTTAGCAAGTTTATCTTCTAATAATTAAAAGTAGTACATGTGAGATAGAAAATTATCCCGCTCATTTGTTAGCCGGCTTGTCTTATACCCAAAACCACTATATATGATACAAAAATTCTCTCTCTCAATTGTTAGTTGGATTATGTTATAGTTAAAATCACTGCTTATTGAGAGAGAGGAAAATATCTCGTTCAATTGTTACACGGCTTATGGTTGAATCTTTCTTATATCTAAAAGCAGCACATATGAAAGAACAAATTTCCCCGTTCAATTGGTAGCTGCCTTATCTTACTATCTTACTGAAAAGCACTACAAATGAGGGACAAAGTTATCCCGCTCAATTGTTAGTTGATTTATCTTTTTATACCTAAAAGCATTACATATGAGAGAGAAATTTTGGCCGCTGAATCGTTAGTCGACTTATCTTATACTTAAGAACACTACAAATGAGATAGAAACTTATTCCACTCAATTCTCAGCCAACTTATCTTATACCTAAAATATTATATATAAGAGAGAAAACTATCCCACATCCTCCACAAATCTGTTATGATTCACCTAATAACAATTTTGTTTCACCGTCTTCCACATTTTCAGTACTTAGTTACATAATTCCATTTTGATTAACTTTCCACCATTAGATTGAATTGGTTAATTAGTTCTTTGAGTTTTCTCATAGAGTATATCTTTTTGATTGCAAGAACTTCTATTATGCAAGTTTATTATCATGAATAGTGTGAACTTTTGATTCGCGAGTTTATTTTCATTTAGCTTCTTATTTGAGTTGATAATCTACTCTAGTGATTCTTTCATGGTCCATTGACTCGTGAACAAATAATTTTTCTGTAAGAAACAGATCATTTCGTCATTTATTGATAAATCAACTTTGATTCTCTCTCACCCAAAACTGTGATACTATGAACATGATTTTAAAAAATCATTTGAAGTTAAGGTACTATATGATACTCTTTCTACCATTATGTTCATTATAGAGATCTTTTCAGAAATAATATTTGAGCAATAGAGGGTACTCATAAGTCTATCTTGTTTGTATGTATTGAATTGGAAGTCCACAATAGTAACCACATTCAAGTATATTTATATTTTTGAGTCAGTTACATATTATAAAGATATTATTAAGAAATCATCTGAAACTCTTTCATAAGTCTATCTCATTCTCTTTACTTTTAAAGGTAATTTGATGGATGAATAATAATAATAATAATAATAATAATAATAATAACACCAACAACAACCATAACAATAACAATGATGATGATGATGATACTCCCTCCATAAAATTCTTTTCGATTTGACTTGGATCGTTAAGATTTAAGAATGTTATCCCGTTCAAATGTTAGCCATCTTGTTTTATACTTAAAAGAACTAATTATATTTTATTAATGAAGTAAATAAAAGATTATATGAAAAGTAGTTAAAAATGATTATGTAAAGTAACTTCAGCCGAATAAGTCATTTTTTTTTCATATTTGCCCCTTTTCCTTAAAATAAAGAATTATAAATTGAACTAAATTTAGAAGTTTTTTTATTAGCACTTGATGTTTTTATTATTTTCATTTGCTAATGTTTTATTCTTGAGTGACATTATAATACAAAGAAATAAGGTTTGTAATAGTCTAACCAAGGGCGTAGAATAGAAATGAAAATAAGATTAGATTTTTATTAATCATACAATTGATGAATGCAAATCACTCATCGTCTTCAATTTAGACCAACTCAAAACAAAAGTAAATAAATGAAAATCAATTGGATTAAAAATGAAAAAGTTATAACACTTTAAAGAAAATTGGGGTTAAAAATGTATATATAATTTGAAGCATAATTATAGAGACCGTTAATAAATTATATTTTTATATATTCAATATTGATCTCAAATGAAAGATCACAAAAAGTTATGAATTTTGATATATTTATTATAAAAATTGGATTAAAAATGAAAAAGTTATAACACTTTAAAGAAAATTGCGGTTTTTAATATCTTGGGTCCCACCAAATACATCCCTGCGGCTGCTCCCTTTTTTCTATAATACCATTGGAGAATTCCGTATTTTTGAAGTAAAGTGGCCACATGGCATTCCTATATCAAAGGAGACAATTATGGAGAGCAAGACACATAGGATTCATTAAGGACAAAATTGTAATTGTATAAACTATTTCTTTTCTTATATATAAATAGATGTGATAGATACAACAACAAAACAAACTATGGGTTGATGATTTAATCATTCAATAACAAAAAAAAAATTGACTTAATCATTAAGATGTAGAATAGTGGTGGAATAGATTTTCTGTCAATTTAACCATTAAGAAGTTGTTTTTAAATTGGTTGTGGAATAGATTTATATTAATAAATGAAGTTTTTCATTGACACTATAATAAGAATACTAAATTAATTATTTTACTTGATTCAAACTGTTTATAATAGAAAAAAGTAAACAATCCTTCAGTTTAATATAGAATCCGTTTGATAACACTAAAATTGATCGAATTGATTAATTCTACAGAAATTGATTAAGTTTGGTCGAATGGTATGCATAACTATTTTTTAATTTTAATAGTGAGATGTTACATTTTACTCATTATTTTGTCACATTAAATTTTTTTAAAAGTGTAGTATTTTAAATTTCAACCCTATTCTCAATTGGACAATTATGAGTTGTCTAATCAATTACGGAGTAAAAAATGAAGTTGGGGAAGTCCATGGAT